CCATGGAAGCCAAAATAGAACAAATTGAAAAAAAATTGCAAACTAAGCTCGAACAACAAGAAGTTAGATTTGAGGCAAACATAGAGGCCAAAATTGAGGAGCTAGGCAAGACGATATTGCAGAAAGTGCAGCAAATGGTGGCTGATTTCGACGCCAAGCTAGCAATATGGGGATCGCAGTCAAGTGGTGGGGGCCCAGTTAAGACGTCTTTTAAACCGTACGCTAGGACTTCGGTGCCCACCGAGGGATTAGAGAGCCTGTAACGCCGCCATGGACAGACAAAATAGCTACACGATTTGGCAATGGAATTGTCGAGGATATAATCGAAAACGATACATTTTGCAACAACATCTTAAAGACACCAGCACCCTGGATGTTATAATGGTGCAAGAAACGCACGGGCTGGTCAAACTGTCGGGATATAAGTCATTCGGCAGTGCTGATGGGGAGACAAAGGTATTAGCAACGTTGGTTAAGCGAAATCACGCGGTGGTGCAACATGACACGGAAATCAAGGCAATAAATCACATTCTTCTCGAACTCATACCCACGCGAAAAACAGAGGACAGTCTTTTGGTATTGAATATTTACAGCAGTCCTAAATGCAGAAAGCACAAATTCCGCACGCTGTTTCGAAAAACCCTCGCTATAACGGGCAACCGGGCGCTAGTGATTGGAGGAGATTTCAACGCCCCACACGGTGCATGGGGATACAGGATCGAAACCCAGAAAGGCAGGAACTTGTGGTTGGACGCACAGGAGCAGGGCCTGACGCTCGTGACCGATCCATCCATTCCTACAAGAACAGGTACTAGCGTTTGCGCGGATACCACGCCAGATTTGACGTTCACCAAAAATATACTGGACACGCAATGGACCAATACGCAACATGACTTGGGAAGCGATCATTTTATACTTGAAATAACGGTGAGGGCAGGGCCGCGGAAGTCAAAAGGCAGACAACTTAAACTTGTCGATTGGGACAAGTTCCGAAACATCAGAGAGGAGCCCGACGAAATGATACGGAGTATTGAGGAATGGACCGAAAAGTTAAAACGAGACGTGGAGGCCGCTACGCAAACGGTGCCACCGGAGGCGCAGCTAGAGTATGTAGACAATAAGCTTCTCCACATTTGGGAAGCTAAGGAAGGTTTACAACGGAGGTGGAAAAACCAAAGGCACAACCGGACACTTCGTAGAAAGATAGCTAAATTGAACAGAGATATAGAGCAATACGCCCAGCAGCTGTGCAGACAACAGTGGGAGGAAAAGTGCAATGACATGGACAACCAGATAGGAATGGCGAAAACGTGGACCATCCTTAGACATTTGTTAAACCCGGACGGAAACAAGTTGGCAGAAAGGCACAATATTAATCGGTTAATACAAAGATATCAAGGTACAGAGCAGGATTTCCTGAATGAAATCAAGAAAACATACATCTCTCAAGCGCTTCCCGTTACACACCCTGATTACACAGGGCTAGCAAATGATGATTTAGACAACGAGATCGGGGAGGCAGAAGTGAGGGCCGTCTTGCAAAAACTCAATACTAGATCAGCACCTGGACCAGATGGCATAACTAACAAAACGCTACACAATTTGGATGACGAGTCCATAACTAAGTTAACTGAATTCATTAACAAATCATGGAAGGCAGGACAGATTCCGCAACAATGGAAGACGGCAAAAATCGTGTTAATACCCAAGCCAGGCAAGCGAGTGCAGATTGCGGACTTGAGACCCATATCTCTCACATCTTGCGTGGGGAAACTCATGGAGCACGTGATTCTGGAGAGGATAACTACCTATCTAGAGGACCGGGATGCGCTTCCACCCACAATGATAGGGTTCAGGAGGAACCTCTCAATGCAAGACGCAATGCTACAGTTAAAACATCAGATTATAGATAATCCGGGAACAGCGACAAAGGCCATTCTAGGGTTAGACCTCAAGAAGGCCTTTGATAATGTAACCCATGCAACGGTGCTAAAAAGGGTAAACGATCTAGATCTGGGACAACGGACGTACAATTACGTGCGTAATTTCCTGACGGGAAGGAAGGCAAAGATCATGATAGGGGACCTAGTTTCAGAGGAAATTGAGATGGGCAGTGCAGGTACGCCGCAAGGCTCGGTATTATCACCTATGTTATTCAATCTGGCTCTAATTGGACTGCCAACCAAACTCCAAGCAATCGAAGGACTGAATCATACTATATATGCAGATGACATCACCCTATGGGTGAGAAGTGGTAGTGATGGCGAAATAGAGGAAACGCTTCAAACAGCAGTCGAAACGGTCGAGCGGTATCTGGAAGGTACTGGGCTAGCCTGCTCTGCGGAAAAATCAGAGCTGTTGCTGTACAGACCTACTCGTAGAGGTCGCAAACCAGGCAACTGCCTGCAAGGTCTTGCTCATAGAGAAGAAATACAGTTAAGAACAGCCGATGGAAAAACCATACCCATAGTCGACAGGATCAGAGTACTGGGTCTGCTCATCGAAGCCAAGGGCAACAATGGAGAAATCCTCAGGCGATTGGATGCAACTGTAGCCCAAATAATGAGACTCATAAAAAGGATAGCAACTAAGCACAGTGGCATGCGGGAGGAAAACACGATAAGGTTCATACAGGCATTCGTGATTAGCAGAATAGTATACGTAGCGCCATACTTAAAAGGGCAAGTCGCGGAAAAGATCAAGCTAGACTGCCTCATTCGAAAAATATTCAAACTAGCTATAGGGCTACCGATTAGCACAAGCACCGACAAACTGTTACAGTTAGGCCTGCACAATACAATAGATGAGCTTATTGAGGCGCAGCGTACGGCGCAATATGAACGTCTCTCTAAGACACGAGCAGGAAGACATATTCTAGAGCGACTAGGTATAACGTATCACACGCAACACGGCGTTAAGGTGGACATTCCAAAAGAGACCGGGGAAACAATGATGATACCACCCTTGCCAAAAAACATGCACCCCGAACACAATAAAGCTAGACGAGAGACAAGAGCAAAACAAATACAAAAAAAGTTTGGTAATGACAAGGACGCAGTTTTCGTAGACGCTGCTCGATACAAGCGCAAACGGGGGTTTACCGCAGCCGTAATCGATAGCAACAAACGCTGTATGACATGCGCGATGATACGCACCACAAGTACCGAGACAGCGGAAGAGGTAGCCATAGCGCTCGCTGTAGCTCAGACAAACGCAACCGTGATAGTCAGTGACTCTCAAACGGCAGTGAGAAACTTTGCCAACGGCCGCATCTCCCCGGAGGCACTACGTATTATCAAAGGAGGGCGTCGAACAAGCCCCAGAAATACATATATTATATGGACACCTGCTCATGCCATCGCGGGGGACAGCAACAATGGGGCTGTACATGACGCAGCTCGAGGGCTCACCGACCGAGCTGCCCTCTCAAGTGCCGCCCCAACCTCCTCCGGTGATTACGGCGTGGCAGACGAGTGGGAGTGGGAAGACAGAATGACCAGATACAATGAAATTACAAAGCATTATAGATTACAGAGGGGCATATTCCCGCCACCTCACCCAAAATTAACAAAAAGACAGTCTGTCGAATGGCGGCAGTTACAAACTAGGACATATCCGAATCCTGCACTATCGCACATTATATATCCTGATATATACAAAACGGACAGGTGCAAGCGTTGCGACTCCAGAGCCACTCTGGAGCATATGTTATGGGAATGTAGAGGGATTAGTACTCATAACAAGTATGCGGCCTCTGCTGACAGCCTTCGCGCGCGCTGGGAGGCCGCAATGCTCAGTTCCGTCCTCGAAGACCAAATGTGGGCCGTCCAGCGGGCCGAGGAAGCCGCCAGGATTCAAGGACTCCTGGCCGTAACCTAGGCGGGGCCAATCGCCCACCCCATCTACTCGCCGGACTCTGAATAAAGTTCTTTCCTCCTCCTAGCTCTGCACTTTTTGGAAACCGCCCCTCAGTGAGGCAGTCCTACTAACTTCGCATCAGGGGCCTAGCTGAAAAAACTGGTGTGCCGCTTTTTGAATACTGCCTAATGGCTCCTGCTGCATGCCTACGGCCGTGGCAGTGGCAGCTCGTAGAATGTATGTATCCTTAGCGGAAGTGACGAAACATGCACCTATTGCACATATGCACACATACTTCATGGAACCTAAACACAAGCACACTTGTCCTGAATTTGTTACAGATGCCTCCAAGTTTCTCACTTCTGTGTCCTATGCAACTGTAGGCCTATCTTTTTCGGCTTCCGGTTTTCTACACCCACAAACAAGCATCTTCACCGTAGAAGCTCATACGCTATTTGTGGCTGCGAAACATACTGAGGAATTAAGACTAGAACGCCTGGTTAAATACACAGGCTCTTCGAGTGTCATCTTCATCATAGCCATTGTGGTGGGTGGGTCTTGTTAAGATTGTATTGAATGCATCAGCATTTACTGACACTGGCGGGGACAGAAAACTGTGGGTGCCTGAATGGTGCCGTTTTCGGAATCATATATCGATATCAAGGAAAAACAAGCTGCGCTTGAATATGGCGTCAAAAGCAGGAGGTGAAGCTGTTGATAGCAAGTGGATTGCAAGATAAACCAGCAATCACCTTGCCTTGGCACCTCCTTTCTGAAGTATTCAAAAAAATTGGTCACTGTTTCAGTGCACACTGCACGAAAATCGACATTGGGAATTGGCACACTGCACTCAAAGTTTTCGAATTAACTGGACTGCTATTGATTGCCGCTTCAAATTATCCACTCAAACTTACATTGCAAAATATAGAACCGTGGAAATACTTCGAAATAACCAAATTCGAATTAAAGAGATTTTATTGTTGTTAACTTCAGTTGTGATTAAAATACTGAGGCTAATTTCTCACTGCGCCTTCTTCTACATGGCTCACATAGAAGTAATTTTACTGCGCGCACTTCTAGTCAATGTGCAGCATGAGTCTACAAACTTGCATCTCGTGTACATTGCTTGGCCTTGTTCACAGGTGTGAGCTTCATGGAGCGCATGATCAACGACACCCTGGAGTACTGCCGGCAGCGCAAGGTGTATGGCCAGCCCCTGATCAAGAACCAGGTGATCCAATATCGACTGGCCGAACTTCAGACCGAGGTAGAGGCACTTCGAGCACTTGGATACAGAGCAGCAGGTGCGTACAACAGCGTTCTTGTCTTGGCTTCTGCACAGCTTTTCACCTTGTCTACACTCTTAAATTCCCATGTGGACACCATTGGCTGTTTTGGCTGGGTTATTGTGTAATCGTTCGAGGTTTTCCATGCTCATCCACACACCTCTTCTGTTACGGCAACACATAAACTGTATCATATTTACTATTGTCGCTTTATGGTGGATTTTTCATCTGCATCACCTGGTCTATAGTGTGTGCCTCACCAACAGCCTTGCCAGAGCACTGTACCAGAATGCTGTTCCAGCACTGTTTCAGAACCATCTTTACCAGCACCAGCACTTTCATGCTGTTGCTAGATCAAAGCCTCTTGTTAGTTGGGTGGCATGGCTGTATTTATTAATGCACAGGATACATTGTAGTGGCATCACTAGCAGTTCTATATTCAAGGATGAGTTTATATCAAGGATGCATTAAATAGCTAACTAGTCTACTACTCAAACATGTGTTTATGTCGAGGATGCATCTGTGTAGATCTGTGTAGTGTTCAAAGGTGTGTTTATATTTCATGTTGAATTGTGCTCTTTTACATGCTTCAAATAGTGTACATTGTTAAAATCCTCGTAAAAAACTTTCAGTAACATGGCTGTAACAAGACTTGCTTCCCTAATTTTGGTGCAATTCTAATTGTCCCTGCTACATTTTTTTGTGACTTTGTTACCTGCTACATTTTTTGTGACTTTGTTAAATTCAGCTGGTTGCACAATTCTTTTGCAGCAATGCTGATGGCTGGTGAAAACGTGACTGAGCTGGCATCTATGGCGAAGCTAAAGGCAGGCCGGCTGTCACGTGAGGTGGCCGACAGCTGCTTACAATACTGGGGCGGCATGGGCTACACCGAGGAGATGCCAATCGCCAGAGCTTTCCGTGATGCCAGACTCCTCTCCATCGCTGGCGGTGCCGACGAAGTGATGCTGGCCATCATCGCCAAGCTACGATGGGGATTAGAGCGATAGTGGCATCCGAAACCAGTGCGAGGGCTACTTTGGTGACTCTTGACTTCCAGCTGATGCAGCAGGGTCCTAGTCCACTCCTGCTGTTTTTCATTCGGCAACTTGCCTGTCAAGTGCCGAGCTGAGTGCAGGAAGGTGCGGTGAATCAGTAGCTCCTGCTTCTCTCAGTCCTGGACACTGGCATCTCACCCTCACCTGCGGCTCGCAACAGCTCACTGCGGCGCTCTAGTATAGTTGGATACAACTTTCGAAGTCCGCGACATTTCCTCTTTAAAGGTGGATGCACACAAGCTTCCACCAATGAGCACTCGCTCTGGACTGACGTCATGAGCCGGATGACTTCTGCCCATTCTTCAAAGAGTGTTGCCACATGCACCAGCGGGACTATTTGTTTAGTCGCGAAAACGACCGGCTGCAGCGCTTTGGTCCACGGGGCAGGAGCTTCTCCAGACTTCTTAGGTTGTATCCACCTATAGACTTGTCCGGACAGTGTCTGGCTCTCGCTAACATGCCTGACAACGTATGGTGCTCTGTCCATCGTATTGACTGCCTCCGAGCAGTGAAGCCATTAGGCTAAAAACAAGCTGCATGACAGCAATTTTGTACAGGAAAAGGTTACGTAAAATTTCTTAGTCTTGCAGGCCTTAGTGATGTTGAATGGTCCCTTGTCCTATAATTCTAAAAGCCGAGGCACATTTACACAAAGTGACAGTGCCGTGTAATTTCATTCAAGGGTGCTGAGGGACGGTCTTTTCTATCTCAGGGTAGTGAGCCACTTGTGTCATTACTAGCTCACAAGGCAGAACATTCTACAAGTATGAATTCCGTATGAGAGACGGCTTTATTTTAATTACAGTCCTGCATGGTGCAAATGCATCTGCACTCCTGATTGTACAAAATGGCAGTTGCCAAGTCACTGCTGCTGTAAATGCATGTACATAACTAGAAATAGAAAATCAGAAGCTTGTGTTGCTTGGCCACGTTTGCAAGTTGCCAGTAAAAGGGCCCTCAAACGCCTTTTGAATATATCAAGCAAATGTTGCCGACCTGCATGTAAAATGGCTCCTTTGAACACGCGAGCCAAAAAGTATTGCAGTCTACAATGCAGCAAATTGACAGTTTTGATTAAAAAACAGCCCAAGTTTAATTACTTTCTCTTTTGCTGTCTTCCCTACCATGCAATTTGACCAAAATACTGGTTGACTTCTGGACATGAAGGACATTCTCAGTAGTACTAAATTAGTGCTGATTCCTAGTTTAAATAATTGAGAAGTACAAATGCCTGCAAGTCTGTCGTAAAAGCCAAAAGATAATTCATTATTGCTTTTCTGATTTTTATCATTAGTTACTTGCATAATATTTTGTGTTCCCTCACACTTGTGGGAAGTATCGCTATGGAAAAAAAATTATTGCTTTGAATGGCATGAATGGTTTTTCCCAAAGGTGTCAGTTCTGGAAAAAAAAAACAGTTTATCTTGTTGAAGGAAAATGTAAGCAGTAATGTTTTAGTGACTGTAGAAGTTATGTGGCATCGCATCGTTTATTTGCCTGCATCGGTTTGAGCTTACATTACCCACACCATGCTTTACAATTTTCTTTTTACCTTATAATTGCTGCATGTTCCCAAAAGATGAACACAGATAAAGCCTCATGCATTTTCACTTTGCTGAACTCCTGCTGTTGAATAAAACCTGCCATGGTAACCTAGCAGGTGAAGTATGCTTGAGCTTGAAGATGCAGTTTCGATTCCTGGTCACAACGGCTGCATTTCTACGAAGATGAAATGAAAGGACAACTGTGTAACTAAATTTACATGTAGTAAGCTTATTCATGCAGATCTGTCATTGCAGAACATAAATAAAATTCATTCTGCACGGCCCTTGCCATTCAGCACATTGTTCGATAGAATCTACCAAGACAGTGCCATTTTATGGGCATGAATATGTATGATGATGCAAGAAATGCACCAAGGCAAGCTAGATGAGGTGCAGTTTGGGATGCAGCACATCACAACAATCAACATATAGGATGTTGAGGTGAATAAAATTTCTGTACAATGAGCAAGGTACAACTTTTTATACAAGATTTCCAAGGTTGTATTACAACCATTTGACATGGGAAACAAATCACTATATTCGTGTTGAAGTAAATTCTCAAAGGTGTCTTATTTGGCTTCAAGATTGCCGTGAGCATTAAATTGTCCACTATTCGTTTATTTGGGTGACTTAAAGTAATTATGAGAACTCGACCTTACAAGCTTTTATTTGAGTGTTAATGCAGCCTCCTGTTACCACCCTTCTGCACTGAGCTTGTCACATGGTTAAAAGTTTCCTTCCTGGTGCAGAGTTAAATCATGTTTAAAGGGACACTAAAGGCAACTATTAAGTGGACGTTGATTGTTGATATGGTGGCCCATAAACCTCGTAGTGTTACTTTTGTGCCAAGGAATGGCCTATTTTGAAATAAGATCACGTTTTAGTGGTCTGCATCGGCTTAGCGCACGTAAAATTACCCGCCTCAAGAAGCGGACCAACTGGACTGACTCACGTCACTGTTGCCGTGCATAATGTTGCCCGAATTTACTGAGCAAGTAGCAGCCGACTGAAAGCAGCGGGAGCGCAGCAGCAACAATGGCCATTGATCAATTTCCCGCCATTAGCTTCGAGATTGCGGACGTTTTTTGTTTTAACTGCGGCTTGCTAGATGGCACTACCTGTCCTGTGTAACCTTGCGAAAATTGAATTTTTGAACCACTCGCGCCATTCCTGATAGTAACATCCTGCGTTTATTTTTTCCATGAATCAAGCAGAAGTGAACAAGCAGCATTATTGCATTATTGCGTCCTTGATGTACGTAAGGCTCTTTATTTAGTGCAGTTAGATTGATTACTAGTGATTAATTGTAGGCGGTCCTTCTGATGTCATCGGGATCATTTTGAAAATGTCCTACGGCGGCGCTTGTGCTATTGTGCATTTACTTTAATTTCTCGATAAGTATGGCACTGTTGTTGATAGGATTATCGTTTTTGATGTTGTCATACATTGAGCTTTCACTCTGACGTAAATTTTTATTTGGCTTTAGTGGACCCTTTAAAGAACAGGTTGCATGTTAAGTGAGACTGTGCTGAAAAGAGAACAGACTGTCAATCACAACGCTACCTATACGGGAATTGAGGTTGCTCTTTGGTGATTCTCTTTTTTTCATCTTTTTTTTTCAGAAACTGTTCTTGCAATGCTTTGAAATAGGTACACACACTGGGGCTGTACTGTTAAACTTAAACTGTGCACACCATAGAGGCCACAAGAAAGTGCTCTCACAAGTGAAATTGTATTCAAGTGTGAAGGATATAGTCTTAGAATGTTGCACTTGTTTGCTTATCACATGGAGAACATCGTGATTCACATGGAAGAATTCTACGCTGGTTATTTTTGATGAATAAAAGTGATATTGTATCGAATTTGTGCTGTCATGCTGTAAGAGTAGACACATGTTAAACGGAACCAGATTGGTTGGACCAGGCAGATATGCTTCCTTTGACAGGAGTTTTGTTTACCGAGAGATTAACAGGGGTTCAGAATGTAAGCACAGAACCAATGGTATTAGAGGGATTTGTTGCATTTAGGCAGCAATTTTGGTTAAGAGAGCCTCGTTTACTGAGAGTTCTGTACTACTGACAAATAACCTTCGAAGGTGTGGTGGTGGTATATGTATTACTGTTAATTTGCTGTTCCTGTACATTCAGTGTTTATTGCAGAAACGCTATATTCTCCACATCATGAAGAAAGGTAGTGGTTGCTGTTCCCGCATTTCGTGGGGTTCATAAACGAACCAACACACACACACAAGTTTAACTGTGAGCTTTTAAACAAATGGCAGATGACACAATGTGTGTGCACTGAAATTTTATTACAACAAACCCACCGCTGTCTTCTCTACTTCAAATGAAATTTTAAAGCAGATACAATGCTTCTACGGAACAGCGAGCAAGTGCTTGCACTACTTCAATAGCTTTCTGGACATTGCAGTAATATCCACTAGGCTGTCGTGCATCTTGACTGTCTGGTTGAAAGTTCGACAGCAGCGATGCCACGTGCACTTAAAGCAACAGTTCACAGGGATAGCCTAGCACATTACCAATGTGTCAAATCCCCTTTCGCAAATATCTTGCCAGTAATAAAAGTTGTTGTGCAGTGTGCTCCTAGTCCGCTGGCACCGTGTGAGTGTTTGCAGTGGATAGTTACCCGTTCATAAGAGATGGGGAGTTGTGAGTGCTGACAGCATCGTGCACCTGCTGAGAACATAAATTCCATGAGAGCACCAAGAACCAACTCCTAAATTCGGGGCAGAGCTTCGTATGGCGAAATTTCTCAAAACATAAAGCACCACCACCTGTCTAGAATTTTGACTTCCATCTTAATAAAAAAAAAAAACTACATTTACGATACAGAACATTTTCATGAACAAGCGTTTGCTAGCTTTCTATGGCATTGCGCCAATAGAAGATTTAGAAAGCAACACAATATAAGGTGGTGATAGTAAATGAGAACTGCCTGTAATGAATTTCGGCATAATAACAGACGAGCTTTATATATGCAACTGCGATTTATAATATGCTTAAAGTAACCCCTTTCAGGTAGAGTTCGTGACTCCGAGGTGAATGCGTTCCTTCGGCTCGGTTCCTTTGCTTGGCCTTTTGGTATTATAAGCAGTTGGAGCTTGCATAAGCGATGCACAGCTAATGTGAAATCAAGTGCTTAAAACAAGATAAACCTTTCAGAAAGCCTTAGGATCATCCGCAAAACTGACACAATAAAACCGAGCCGTGACCGATGTAAATGTTGCGACAAAGTTATTTCTTCTCGGGTTTTTTGGAACTGTCGAGCACATGTGGACTCATATGAGAATCAGATGAATATCGTAGAGACTGCCGACAGAACGAGCGTATGCCTCCATCACGTTTTTGATACTTCTCCACACCAGTAGCCATTATGATGTAGCACGGCTTAAAGTGCTGCTTTTAAACTCCACAACATTCAGTGAGTAACTAGGCTGATCCCTGGAAATTCCGATTGTACGTCTTTTTTTCTTCTTCTTTGGCGGGTTGGCGGGCTCTTGAAACGGAATTTCTCGGCGCATTTTTGCCACGCCTGCACATTCATTTGTGCACGTGGCGTGTGGCAAATGTGTGTACACCGATAAAGGCTCAGCAGTGCCTTTAACGAGCTAAAAGTGAGCAGCTACACACTTTTTCAGGCTACAACGCGCGCACTCCAAATGCAGACGCTCCTGACACTTTGTACTGAAAAGTACAAAGTGACTACAGCTGCTACTGTCACCCTCCGGAGAATCAGGCGAGAAGTGGTGCCTAGCTCATTCCACCGCCCCCTTCTAGTACACTTTTAGCCACCCTGACACTATGGCCGCTAGAATATACAGTATATTCTAGGGACCATACTAACGCTGTTAGGGTGACACTGTAACAGTGGCTCAGATGTTGCCACTGAGTGTCTGAATTTGTCTAAATCCAGCTGCCCGTTTAGGATGCCTTTTGCATAGTGTAAAAAGGGGAGGAAGGAGCATTTTTTTTAAAAGCAGCTTGCAAGCAGTACTTTGGTGGAAGAAAGTCTCTCTGGAATTAGCATCCATTTCCTTTGTACTCAGGTCTTTAGCTACTCATTAGAAGCTCCTACTGGCAGTTCAAGCTTTGTCTAGAAAGCCCAGGTTTCAAAATTCTGGGATATTGGTAAATGTCAAAATACGTGCGGTTCTTTCTAGCTTTTTGTACTCTGCATTATAGGGCCGAAAATTTGCATACAAGATAAAGTTGAGACAGTCAATCGAGCATACAGTGGTAGCGTTCTGCAGCTATCAGATCAGAGCCCTTTGTCTTACCAATTTTAGTAAGCCCAATCAAAAAATAAACTTGTCCGAATAAAGAATGCAGGCTAAATTTGTTCTGCATGGCTGTGGATAAGGCACTTGTAACAAAAAGCGTCATGGCATTATTGTTATTCCTTGCCTCAGTGGGGGCAAGATGTGTACCACCAATGGCTGCCAGGCCGACTTGATAGCCCTGCTGGCCAACACATGTACGCACCGAGAGCCCTTTGCGAAAGACCAAGTCACTCATCTGCTTGCTTTCTAAAGTGCCCGGTGAGCTTTTGAAGACTTATACGACCCAATGGCACATGGAAGGTTCATGCTCTTTCATTTCTGTTGGGCCCTACCCCACATGAGAGTAAAGTGAATAGTTGGTGTAGATGTACTTCAGTCAGCAGTAATCAAGGCATGCACCATGACGATTCCTAGTCTGTAGGTCAAGCGCAGTAGCAAGCTGAAAATCCTAGGGCAGGTTTTGTTTTGGATGCGGCGGACATTGCAACAAAACTAATTTGTGGGTGATCGGTTGCTTGTGTCTCTTTTAGGGGCAAAGCTCTTTAAGGTCGGGGCTTGTTCGTTGGCGGCGTTGTCGTTGTGCACTGTAGCTGCCAGTTACGATAATGACGATGCTGATGACGATGAACAGGCTAGTGTTTTCCAGACCACACATTCTTTTTATGCCATTAGGGCAGGGCACATGCAAGGTACCCACTATACGCCATGACGACGAAGATGATGACTGTGATGATCCAGGACAACGACTGATTGGGAACCGTGAGAACGTGCCCGGACTTTGTCTTTGCCAACTTCAGGCTAGATCCGATACCACAAAGTAGTAATAGTGAAGAAACAACTCAATGAAATTCACAGCTATATCACCAGTTATGACCAATAAATGTTGTATTTATAAATGTATATTGCTTGGAACTCATTTAAATGTGTGAGTGGTCAATGTCATGGGTGATTCACAATAACACTGAATGATCTCGCTGCTTTGCCCACTGTTTGAAATGGTCAACTGGCACAGAAAGCTTGCATTTCTTGTTATCAAGGCAAAGTTTAAGAATTGTTTGTTAACTTCGGTGCCAAGGGCATTCTTGCTGAATAAGAGGAAGAACAAATTACAGTAAAAAAGGATATATGTTGTCAGTAGAGTGCTGCAAGGCAAACTGAGGTAATTAGTTTGCAAAAGTTTAGAACCGATGTGATTGTCCAGCGACACAGCCATTTACAACCGCTGGATGCATGACAACACATTCCACGAGACACTATTTCACCTAATACACAATAAAGGCCTAACGGCGCATGTTCAATAAACGTACGCACAAAAATATTACTCCTTAAAGACAAATCTTTGTCGCAAATAAAAAAAAAAGAGAATGAGACAAAGAAGATCCCCTGAAGCAAGGCTGTCAGACCCAGTACTGAATGCTGCTCCGGTCTACAAGCACCGTTTAGTAAACTGGCGTAGCTATTTTTATGCAAGTTTTCTTTACAAAATTCCAT